GCCGCCGCCGCCGCCGCGCCAGCGGCTGCCTGCAACGCGGCATCCAAAGCCATTCCCGCTGAGCTGCCGCTGGGCCCAACATTAAAGCCCCCAAACGCGCCTGCAAGTGCGGCAGCCGCTTCCTGCGCTTTCGCTGCCGCCACTGCCACGTTGCCCCCTAAACCGAAATTGGTATTTCCGGCGCTGTCTGCACCTCCTGCCCAATGTGCCGCCTGCCCTGTCGGCGCCGGCAGCGCCTGCGCGCCGTTACACGCATCGCCGTCGCCGTCATCGCCGCCGCCGCCGTCACCACCGTCCGCCATCGACCAGTCCGGCTGCTGCAACACGAAATATTTCATCATAAACGCGTGCAGACGCGCGGGGTGGAAAGGCCGGCGGGAGCGCCACACGAATGACGTAATGCCGTACTCCGCCGTCTCCGGAACCAAATCCGTACCCTCACGAATGGCCTGGTGGGGGGATGGCCGCGGCCACGGGGGGAATCGCAAGGGGTACAGGGTATGGCCGCGGGGGAAACGGCAAGGAAAAAGAAAAAGCTAGTACGACACATACACACACACCGTCTACATTCACTGTTAATAACAATCCGAATATGCTTCAATTACTTCAACAGTGCAAAGAGAATTCTCCTCGAGGGCCTGCTGACGTCAGAAACGCCTCATAAAGAGGACATGACGGAAACACTCGGCCACATGCCGAGTCCCACAACACGCGCACATACATACGTACAAACAGACACAACCCCAATATAAAAGCAAGAGCACGACACACACACATACATACACACATACACAGAGTTCACGCCTACCTTCCAAACCCGTAGCCCTTCCCCCCAATCCCCACCCCATTCCCCCCAACCCCCAACCCCCACGACCCCACCCAGCCCAGCCCGTCACTACCACTCTTACCCGAAGCCAGCCGGCCCCCTCCCTGGCGCGTTCCAAGCTGAATCTGCCCGTGTTGAGGACCTCAGTCAGCGGGACTTGGGAGTGGGTGGTGGGCAGCAGCCGGGCCGAGGGGTTGATGGCGCCCACCAGCGCCACCAGGCGGGGAAGCTGGCCAGGGGGAACCGTGTCCAACTGCGGCGACAACCGTCATAATGGTATGTGGGTATGCGGGTATCTGGGAATGTGGGTATGCATAACGGTATGTGGGTATGTATGTCTTCTTTTCCTTTTTCCTAGGGGGCTCTACCACCGGATGGTTTGCGACAAACCGGAGCACACGCGGGTGGGAGTGTTGGGGGGAGGGGGCGAAAGACGAACCAAAGTGAGTGGTGGTGGTGGGGGAGGAAGAGGGAAACGCAAAGTGGGTTAGTGGGAGAGGTGCATTGCGTGTGATGGGGGCGAGATGGGGTGTGTGCGTGTGTGTGTGGGGGGGGAAAGGGAAGGAAACCGTGTCTTTAACTTGTTCGTGTCGATTTCACCGTTCCCCCCCCTCACCCACACGCACACACACCATGTCGCCGTCATTTGATGTTCTGTGCCTTGCCAAATATTTCCCTTTGGGGGCCCCCAAACCCCACCCCAACCCACCCCACGTTTATTTATCACCCTCACCACCCCCCTCACCCGTACCTTGTTCAGCAAGATGACGTCAGCAAATTCCAATTGATCCAACAGTAAATCTGCCACGTTGCGCTCCAACTCCTCCTCATCCTCATCCTCGTCGTGATCGGACTCCTCATGCTGTTCCTCTAAATCGTCAGCAACCTCGTCGTACGAGGCCGCCGCCGCTGCCGCCGTTAGGATCTTCTTGTTGCGGCGGCCCCCCCCGTGCGCGTGTACCTTCTGAGCCTCCTGGCGGGCCTGCAGTTTTGTGAGTATGTCTGTTTTTAAGCCTGTAAGACCGTTTTGTAGGGCCTGTATGGTTTGTTTGTAAAATGTTTTTAAAGTCTGGATGTTTGCCTTTTAAGTATTGGCTGTTGGTACACAAACACCACCTTTCCCCAGATTCCCGTCCCCTTTAGTNCCNTTTAACCCCCCCCGGCGGGGGGGCCCCCCCCCCCCCCCAACGTTTANATGGTCTTCAAAACTTCTTGCAGCATTTGCCAGTCAATTTTGGCTCCACGGTACCCCCCTCGGAGCCGCCCGTTTNTCCGGGGCGGGTCCGCTATACGGGAATCGAGTTTGGGTATCAGGTTGTTCGTTGAAGATCTCACCCCGCCAAAGGTATTATTTTTGGTGCTGGTGCCGGATTGCGAGTCGTTATGATTGTTTGTATAAGTCC